GGCGCCCAGAACTGGACGCAGTACTCCAACTGCGGCCTGACCAGTGCCGCATAAAGGGGGAGGATCACCTCTCTGGACCTGCTCGAGATGCATCTGTGGATGCATGACAAGGTACGGTTGGCCTTCCTAACTGCCTCCCCACACTGCCGACCCATGTTCATCTTGGAGTCAATGATGACTCCAAGATCTTTTTCTGCCTCCGTGCTGACAAGAGGGGAGTTCCCTAACCTGTAGGTATGGTGCCGGTTGTTCCTCCCCAGGTGCATCACCTTGCACTTATCCATGTTGAAACCCATCCTATTCTTATCCGCCCACTCTTGCAACCTGTCCAGGTCCGATTGTAGCCTGCTTCTTCCTTCTAGTGTGCCCACGTCCCCCCACATCTTAATGTGTTCTGGCTTCCAAGATTTTCTTAAATGTCCATCTCCTACATCTAGAATTTCAGTGAGGAGCAGAGCAGATGATGAGTAAGCAGATAAACAGTTGGAGGAATTGTGCATATGGAAAGGAAGAACAGCTCAATGCTGCCTAGGGGTCTGCTTTTTTTCCTATACATTTCCTATGAAAGTCAAAAACAAAACGTCCATTTGCCTTAATGTTAAAATAGCTCAAAGAGATCTGGAGATCATCAGCATCTTTTCAGGAGATCACTAGTCCTTTTTCAGGGAAATACAGTCCAAGGTTGATAACTGTGACTTTGCTGTGGGGAGGTCTCACCAAGTAGGGAAGTGGAGAAAATATATAGCAAGCAGCTACTAATAAAGAGATAGCAAGGAGGTCATCAGATGTTTCTTGAGGGGAAAAATTAAGAATGTAGATAATGGAAGACACTGTAAACAGTAAAACATATTTTGATAGACCCTAACATGGCCCATGAGGCCCCTTAAACTTCGGTTCTGCAGTTCTTTTTGGTACTTGTTTTTCATTTGTTTATGTGCGTGCACAAAAATTTCACAAGCCCACTGATATCAGCAAGACTATCAGTGAAATTGTTGGTGGTTGTGAAATCTGACCATTTATAGTTTCTTATTAGTAGATCTTGGTGTCGTCTGTAACTGTGAATGACCTTGAGTCATTAGGACTAGTGATTTCTCCTTACTACAAAATAATTGTTTGAAAAATTGCAGAGCCACCTTCATGGCAGACTGAGCTCAGCAGGGAAGAGCTACTACAGAAGCTGAACACAACAACAAAGAGTGCTGATCATTTGAATGGATTGCTTCGTGAATCAGAAGCAACAAATGCAATCTTAATGGAACAAATTAAGGTTAGTAAACTTGATGCAACTCTGATTTACTGCGTCGGTGACCCAGAGCAGATCCTTAGGACCATAATCTGTGATTCAAACCTGACGCATTTAGAAATGTGATGAGATACAAAATGTAATTGCCTATTGTTTTTGTTAAACTCTCTCAAATTCCTCAAGTTTACCTAATGCTTTCAAATTTTCTTGTTTTTGTCAGCTTTTTTCAATATTGTATTTACTAAAATACAGAATGAATTTCTTTCCCTGTAATTGGCACCTGGGAAGAAGGCTCCTCATCTTACCGCGTACAAGGAGGTTTCATGAAACACATTGACAGCAGTTTAACAATAGACAAAACAGTATGTGCTCAGCAACAGAAATCAGTTACAAAGTTGATTAAATGCAGCCAACACTGAGCACCACTATAAAACACATGGCCCACATTGGGCAGATATGCTGGTTAGAACCTAACGAAAGGATAAGTGAATACAGGCCATCTGAATACAATATGTGGTAGTGCCCATTAAGTGGAATGCTCCTCACCGCCAGCTCTTTCAAGTCATAGTGAGCCACTATATTGCATCAATTTTTACTTCCTCTTCATTCCCACTGCTGAGCTGCACCTTTTATTTCTCACTTCTAGCGATTACTGTTGCTTCACCAGCCTTAAATGCTTGGCAAATATAATGAAATGGGGCCCCAAACAGATCACTCAGAATCCCTCTGTTGTGTTTTTTCTCTCAGCCTGTTACATATTAGTGTGGCGCCCTGCCTTCTGTGAAGTGGAGCTAGATCAGGTTACCCTGTGCCTCCCTCATCTGTACATACATTTTTGGTGTATGCCAGGACTTGTGACAAGAACACCTGGTTCCAGTCATGAGCGGGGGCTAATTATCACATAGACCTTTGTGGGTGTTATCTGGAGTATGCACACATACTGAGCAGTGCTGAGCTTTGGGATCACTGTGGCTTGAAATTCTGTTGGGCCTCACCAGAGTCATCTCATTGAATTGTGTGGTTTGGACTAATACCATGCATAATTTTTACTACATATAAGTGAATGCCAAAGTGCTGCTCAAAAGTGTGTGTTTATGAAGTACCTGTACTAAAACTCACAGAAGTTTTGGTTTGTTTTTTTTTTGAAAAGGTAATATGCATCAATTTTAGATGAGTTCATTGTGTAGGTGCTATATGCAAATGTCTACAGCCATGTTTAATTTGAAGGTTACTGTTTTCAAATTTTCTTCTCACTTCTATGTGCGCAGGGAGAGTAGGGTCTGACACTAGAGAGGGGCAAGGGCTGCCATGGTAAAAAGTTGGGAAGCAGAGAGGAAAGGAGTTACTTGATGCCCCCAGGTTTATTTTCCCTGCTGTAGCAGTGGGAGAGGGACAAATTCAAAGCAGACGTTCAATAATGAGATTCTATATGTGGAAAATTATAACATTTATAAATTTTCCATATATAGAATCTAATTATTGGGAGATCATCTTACAATCAGGGACATCTTCTATATAATGCAATATTTCCTTGGATGCTTTCAAAAATATGAAGTGGAATATGTGCAAAAAGTCAGTTCTTAATGTGCAAAAAAAGTCGTCTTTCATTTTTAGACCAAGCACAATACACAAAGAGAAACCATTGAATTGTTTTTCCCCACAAGGCTGCTTTTGTCTCCATTGCCTTTTAGTGTCTTAAGTGATCCTGGATATAAATATTGACTGAGCTTAAGATTGCCTTGGGGCTTGAGTATTGAGCTAATATAATGTGTTTCTTATCTAACTTTATTTTGGATCATTTGATCTGTGTTGAAGGATTGATTTTGTTTGTTTGTTTGTTTGGTTGGGTTTTTTTTGGTTGTTGCTTTCCCCTCCCCTTCCCTTACTTCTATAACTAAAACAGCCCAGTAGAGTCTTAAAATTGCAGGACCAATTTTAGCTCTCCTTTTAACTGCACAACTCCTCTTGCCATGTTGAAATGCTCAGAAGGGATCTGTTCTGGCAGTGCAAACTCTGTTACACTCCTATGCCACTCAGGAAGGCACATAGCTGTTAGGTGCAGAAAAACATGACTAATGATTGGTGCTTGAGGAGGGGGAAGGAGTGCCCCATTGATGTTTCTTCATTAGGTAAAATGGATTTAGAGCAGGGGATGGGAAGGAGCAGAGGCCAGGGCCAGAACCCAGAGCCTTTTCTCTTTCATGGCAGTGTCTAACTCATCAAGCCACAGAACCAGGCTTGCTCTTCTGACCCCACGTGCCTCCCCCTTTTGGCTGCCCAGGGGTCCAGCTTCAACATGATGGTTAGAGGGTGCTCCTGGCAGTGTCCATGGCCTGAAAATAGAAGCAGTTTTGCCAGGTAGTGGGAGACAAATTCAAATCCTCTCTGGCTGCTGGGGCCAAAATCCTGTTTTTCCATTTCCTTGTCAAGCATGGTAATAACTAGTCTATTGGGCTAAGGGGTGGGAGGGTCTTCATTTTATGGCATCAGTTTCTGTGATTAATAATTTGAGTGTTTGTACTGTTGCAGTTTGTAAGTAGCCAGAGTGGATCCCTTCTGCTTGTTATGCTCAGAAAAGCATGGTGGGACATATAGTAAGATCTAAAATCCACAGAAGTGTTTTGTAGTCAATCATGTAAAAAACAAAGAAGTAAAATATTGGCAACTCTTCCTTATAACCTTTTACTGTAAAACTCCTACACAAAGGTGTTCATGTAATCCTAAAGAGGTTAAATGAATTCTGGAATTTCTCGGAAGGCTTGGATAAAATACAGGTATAGAGAATATTCTGCCATCTCTAGGTCCAGTGGGACTTTCACCCAGAAGACCTCATTCTTTATACAGGTAAACGTGTTCAGTGCCATATTGCCTGTATAATTCATACATGCTGTGTTTCTCCAAGTAGCCTCTTCAGCTGATCATATTTATAAAAATCAAGTAAATAATATTTAAAGGTTTCTTTGTGTCTGCAGCTTCTTAAGAATGAAATAAGGAGACTGGAAAGGAACCAAGAGCGAGAGAAATCTGTTGCTAATCTAGAATACTTGAAAAACGTTCTGCTGCAATTCATATTTCTGAAATCAGGAAGTGAAAGAGAGAGGCTGTTGCCAGTAATAGATACCATGTTGCAGCTCAGCCCTGAAGAAAAGGGAAAGCTTGTTGCAATCGCTCAAGGTATGTATAATATTTCTTTTAATACCAATACATCATCACAAAGAAGGAAAGTAAAAGTAATAATAAAGAAAACCAAAAGGTTTTGACTTCCTTTTATTCAGATCCTCTAGAAAAACAAATCTGAAGAATGTGATGCAAACAGGTTAGGAATAAAATGATGCTACTCAGTTAGAAGGGGATTAAAGTATTGCAATTTCTCATTGAACAGGACTAAAAGGAAAATCCTAAATAAAATTCTCTAAGGTGAAAATAAAAACTTTAAGAGAGACCTTTCTTTCATGTTAAATTGTGTAAAACTCCATCACTTCCTTAGTCTTCCCTAAAGAGACATTTCTTCATGGTTTTTTTAACCATCTGCCTGCATTTTTTCCCCAGTCAGTTCCACTGTTGACTAGTCAGTGAATTGAAGATCTCTTTCAAATTGGGATGAGGATAAAGCTTCCTGTGAATTGATTTTCATGACACATGCTCCACAAAAATGTAGGAGCTATTCCAATTTAATAAAAGCCATTTTGCATAGTAAATGACTGAAACTAATGATTAACAACTAGTTTTGAAACTTTATTCCACAAATATATGTGAGGGGCAAAAATTTCTTAGAGTGATATCTTTTCTTGGATCAACTATGCTGCTTCTGACTTCCTGTGATCAGAGAACTGATGGCAGACATCTTGCATTTGAAAGCTTGTCTAACTTTATCCCAACTATGTAGTTGGTCCAATAAATGATGTTATCCTAAGGCAGGAGTTGTCAGCCAGAGGTAGGTGTACCCCTAGGGGTACTTAGAAAGGTCATAGGGGGTATGCACGGGCAGGCAGCTGGTCAGGATTAGAGTGCTCCACAGGGAATGGCGGTGGCATCTCCCCCAGCACATTCCCATACTTTGCTTCTTACCTGGGGGAGGGACGCACCAGGTGCCACCAGCTCCACACAGCACACTGCAGCACCTCCTCGCCCCCACCTCAGCCCATTCTCTGTGCCCGCTCCCAAGAGCAGGGCTGGGGGCAAGGGCAGCAGTGCCCCTCTGCAGGCCATGCATGTGCCAGCCAGATGGG